TGCTGACTGCACTTGATAACCCCACTCATGTCGAGCATGCATGGAAGCTGAATCACATTCGCCAAGCTGCCATGCAGCACATGCAGACTAATCCCACGATTGCTGGAATTGAACAGCTGCACAAGGTTCTACACCAAGCCTGCCTGCAAATTTTCCCGAAGGCTGCCACCTCAGTTCCTGCCAAACCTTGGCAAACAACGGACGTCCAGAATGGAATCAGGTCCATGTGGGACAAGTGGAGGGCCTTCAAACAAATCCGAAAGAACGGGCTACGCGGATGGTTTGCGGGAAGGCTTGGCGTGCCTTTACTGCTCACCATAAGCAACATCAAGCGGCCTACCGTGCTGCTCGAAAACAGGTCCTGACCACGGCTATGGACGAGGCTCGCCAGTGTGCATACAAACACGACACACGTGGGATCTTTCAAGTTGTGAATCGAATTGCCCCGAAACAGACCAGACATCGTCTACAACTGAAAGATGCTCAAGGGCGAATGCTTGATGCCACCCAAGAGGTGGACCTCCTAGCTTGTCACTTCCAAAGGCGCTTCTGTGAAACAGATACTGCAATCCTGGATGCGACCAGAGGCCCCTGGTCCACTTCTACAGCTCCGGCCCTTGATCCCAATGAGCTCTCCCACCAGCTGATGCTAGTACCACGTCGCAAAGCGGTTCCGAAAGCACACCCTCCGAGTGCAGTTTGGCGATGCTGTGCAGATCTTGTGTCGCCATGGCTGTGTGCATGCCTCACGCAGACATGGGCTTACACGGAGGTCACTGTTCCTCCTAGCTGGGCAGATGTAGACCTAGCTCTGGTCCCCAAACCGGGGAAACCGGGCACAAAACCGGAAGACCATCGACCCATAGGTCTGTCTTGCCCCCTAGGTAAGAAGGTTCTAAGCTGCCTGATTGGACCCTATATACCTCAGATGCTTGCTGCCATTCAACAGTTCCCGCAGTATGCATACCAACAAGGCCGGGCCCAGTACGATGCACTTCGCAGAGCCTTCAAGCACTGTGCCTTTGTGAGGGCCGAACTTGGCTACCATCGCAAGGACTTGCATGCCCGGAAAGCAGGCCACAAGCCCATTCCGATGTTTGGTGCCCTGATGATCACACTAGACTTGTCACAGGCGTTCGACAGAATGCCTCGCCATCATCTTCTCCAAGGCATGCGAGACCTGCAACTGCCTGACAATCTCGTGGCTGTAATCATGCAATGGCACTCACAAATTCGATATACTGTGCACCACGCAGACCAGTCCCGCACCTTCCCTGCGAGCCGTGGCATTCGCCAAGGCTGCTCTGCCTCGCCTCTGTTGTGGCTAGTCTTCTCACATGTCATATGCACTCAGCTTGCGGCCCGCATAGGCAAACACAAGGTCGACCAGCTTCTCACTGTCTTTGCTGACGATCACTTTGCAGCCGACAGCTTTCGCAGTATACCGGAGTTTGAGGCACTTCTTGACTGCATTGTTGCCCTGTTTAGCACCCTCGAAGCCTTTGGAATGGAGGTCAGCGATGCCAAATCCAAAGCTGTCCTGGTCCTACGAGGCACCTTGAGTAACACTATCACCCGCCGATATGTTCGCAAAGTCCCAGGGGGCAGAGTTCTCCGTATCCAACTTCGCAGTCGGGTCCTGGCCATTCCCCTGGTATCACAGTTCACGTACCTCGGTGCTCAAGTTAGCTATCAAGCTTTTGAGAATCAAACTCTGCAGTATCGATTACAGAAAGGAACTGCCACCTACAATCGCCTCGGCTCTGTCCTCAAAGGACGGCATCATTTGACTGCCGCCCAGAGAATCGATCTGTGGAAATCCTGTGTTTGGAGCAGCATATCCTATGCCCTGCCTGCCTGTGGTCTGACCCCATCAGGTCACAAAACTCTGGAAACTGCTGTGATCAAGCACCTCCGTGCCATTCTCAGAAGCCCAGTCCATCTCACCTTCACAACCAATGCAGAGATAGCCCAACAGGCGAGTCTTGCGCTCCCGCACATTATGCTGCAGAGGCTCCTCCAGACAGAGGCTCGGAGGAAATCTAATGAGTCATCATCGGCGGATCCCTTCATCTGCGGACCCCATGATCCATGGTGGAAGCAGGTTGAAGCAAGCCTTCAGCCACCATCTGAGTCGGCTGTGATTCAAGTGCCTGCCCTGACTATGTCCAAATGCACCTGCCCGATATGTGGCATTGCTTATGCCCTTCGATCTGCACTGTTAACTCATGTGGCCAAGCAGCACCCGGAGAGTCTGCTGGAACTTGAACAGCCAACATTTGATCGGGCAGTCGATGCTGTAGGAGGAATGCCCCAGTGTGCAGCATGTGGCAAACGATTTCCTACCTGGCAGCTTCTACAAAGACATGTGGAGGGTAACTACTGTGCTGCAAAACACGCTTTGGTACCTGCTGCACCTGTCGAGCCAATTGTGCCAGCATCCCAACGGCCTGCACTCTTTGCTGAATCCCCTTGGCCTGACCTGGTCCGAAAACATGCGTCCAGAGCTATCTTTCACTCTGCAAGCAACGAAGTCTACCTCCAGCATTGTCTAGTGTGTGGCCAGTGGGTAGCCTCGCATAAAGCCATGAAACTGCACTACCGCCGTACCCATGCTGAGCTATTCCGCCTCCACAATGACGCTGCCCACAAAATGTGTCAGTCATACCCCCGCTGTAGCTCCCCATGTCACTTCTGTAAAGCTCAACTTGCACAGCCTAGGGCACATAATACCCAGTGCACTGTTCTGTGGCAATTCTGCATCAGCTTCACAGCTGCACGGCATCATGGCGGATCAACAGATCGCGGAGATCTTCGGACCGGTGGCTACGGAGGGGGCGGGCCAGCTAGCCAGTCTTCTCATGGAAGACACGCTGTTGGACAACGACCGTCCGGGTCCACACAAGCACCCCAAAACGGACGGGCGGACGGACAAGCGTCTGAGGGCGCCCTTTGGAGAGCCTTTCGGAGGGGGCTTCGGCCCTCGCTACAGGGGGCAGAACCGTCCGGGTCGCCAGGACAAGGAGGTGGCTTTGATCAAGGCGATGGGCAGGCTAGTGATACGCCAAGAGACCCAATTGCAGGTCCTGAAGCAAAACTCTGCCTGGACCCTCTACTTGAAGCCGGGCCAATCCGGGGCCATGCCGATTCTATTCAAGACTGCAGCCACCTACCGCGAGGCCTCCAAGACCAGGTTCATGGAAGCCCCCCTTCGGGCAGTTCTGCTGAGCACCCTGTTTCAGACCCTGCTTGCATGCCTGCAGACCCTAGCCACGCAGCAGGATCAACAAGCTCAGGCCAAAACCAAAGGCTGGCTGAACACGGAGGGCAAGTGGGTATATCAGCGTTGGGACCCGGAGAACCAGGTGCTCAAAACCGACGACACTCGGGCTGCCGTGACGCACCAGGAGGTCGTCAATCATGTCAACCTACTGGTTACTGCAGTGACGGGGAAGGACGTGATTCATCGCTTCAATGCCACGAATGGCCTGCAGGCCAATCCGGAGCAGATCACGACTTTTCTCCTGGAAGTGGGACTGAGGGCCACAGGGGTCGAGAAGGTCTGGGCAGCCCTCGAGTTCTTATCGAACTCGACAGCCCTACAGCTGTGCGGCATGCAGCTCAAGCGGGACAATCTCAAGAGGAGCTCGCTTGCCAACGACGTGCAGAAATTGCTGCAGGACTACACAGGCTCTGCTTGATTAATCGCTCCCAGCACTGCTATGCCAACTCATTTGCATTCGCACTGCTGTGGTGTCATCAGCTTCTGAAGGTGCCTGAAGCACAGCTCTTCGGAACCAAAGTGCAGGCGTGGAGAGATGTTCTCTACCACCGCACCAGTGTAGTGTTGCTCAGGCTGCAATCCTGGGCACCCTTGTGGCGTGGGTGGGAGCGACCATCGGCACAGCACGACGTCTCAGCCTTCATGACCCATGTACTTGCGAAAATGCAGCCACCCATACTCCAAGGAACATGGGAATCCCGTACTTTGGAAGGGGGCGAAACATATCGTGAGGACTCTGGCCGATTGCACTCTCCCATTATCCTGCATATACAGACACGGCATCAAACACTGCAGGACTGTCTTGATGGATGGCACAATCAGGTACAGCCGCATGCTCTATGCCAGGCCTCATCCTTGTGCTTTGTGCAACTGGCCAGGTATGATTTCGATAACGGGGTGGCTGTCAAGAACAGCCAGGCTATCACGATCCCTGATTCAGTCTTTGTGCCCATTTGGGGCAGGCATCTCACGACCTTTCGAGCCAGATACCATGTAGTGGCTGTTATTATGCACCACGGACCGCATACCGCTGTTGGTCACTACACTTCAGCGCTCTTGGACCCAGCCACGGATTTGCACAGGGGCCGATGCTGGCTGTCGGATGACAATCGTCGTCTGGTGGCCCAAGCCTCACTTCCTGACTCGGCCATGCATCAAGGGTACGTGTTCGCCCTGGTCAGGTCCGTCTGACTGCCGTGCATCGATTGGGGTGCTTTTCTCTGAACTGGGGACTTGATGAACCTCGTTCATCTCTTTTGACGAGCCTGTTATCAGTGCACTGCCGAAAGTGTGGAGCCTTTTAACATTACCAGACCGGCTTGCAGGCACTAGTGCCGGAGCCACTTTTACCGGGCCCCAAACGGGGTGCGCATTTGGCGCCGACAGACACCGATGTCGCCGATGAAGGGACGCTTAGCGAAGACGCATCTTTGCTGCGAGGGAAGAAGAAGAAGTAGTAGTGGTAGCAGCAAAAAGAGAAGTCGTTGTTGTTGGTGGTGCAGCAGCAGCAGCAGAGGTTGGCCTGGAAGTTGCTGTCGAAGCGGTGTGACCATCGCAGGAAGACTTGCATTTGAACAAACAAGCATCATCAGATGCCCAACAGAACCTAAACCCTGAGGCCCTAAGCCTAAAAACCTCTAAATCCTAAGCCCTGAACCCCAAAAACCTGAAGCTTTAAACACCACCAACCCCTGACCCAAACTCGAGCAGCTGCCAGGTCAAGGTGGATTGCGCAGAGCCGCCCGTGGCAGAAAGCGAGGAAAAGCAACGAAGCTCCCTCATTGCTTACGCTTATGGGTAATTATCAGAGGTATTTTTTAATGTTTGGTTATTATGACCCCTAAGAAACAGCTAAAATTTTCTTTTGTGCTAGGGTTCTAAGTTCAGCATAGTACAGGGTTCAGGGCTTTACGGTGTAGGGTTTAGGGTCTCATTCTAGGGCTCAGTCTTCAAGGTCGAGGCCGTGGGCCGTACATCCTGGATCCACGAACCCGAACTCCAAGGCCCGACCCTAGCAACACCCAAACCCTAAACCATGAATCCCAGAACTGATATCGACACCCTTTATGCTTAGCAGAAGCAATCCGCAGGCGATGCCTGTGGCAGCAGGGAGCGCCATTTCAGGATCCGAATAAATCGCTTACAGCGTCCTCTTTCAGCCCATATATAAGTATACACATAACGTACGCGAAAACCGTCTCCGCAACGACCGAATGAAATCCTGTAAAGCCCTACTCTAGTTATTCAGGTGTTCGCTTCGGAGCTGTCGCGACAAGTCCCTGGATTGATTTAAAGACTGTGTGGTGCAGGGTCTAGAGTAGTATAGAAGACCGAATAACATCACCCATATTCCCTCGGCTTCCTGCTGCAGCTAGACCAGAATACGCTCCAAAACTCCATTCTAATTATTAAGGCCCCTATATGTTGTATAAGGGTTTCGGGTCTAGGGCAAGGCTACATCGTGCGGCTGCAGGGATTCCGTATGCAGAGTTTGGAGTGCTGTCGTTAAGCTCGATGCTCTGTCTGTGGAGATTGGGTTTTGGGTGTCTGTCATCGTAGAACTTTGATAATGGGCCCTGAGGAAAAGTACATACACACATATATATATATATATATAAGACACATGTGTGTATACACTTACACACGAAGGAATGTAACTGCCTGAGCTTCATTCTATAAGGGATACTACTAGGGTACTATCATATAGGGGCCTTAAGAATCAACTACCTATACTATCTTATGCCTATGAGTAGGGCTCAGGCTCCCGTCTTCGACTTAGGGAATCTGGTTTGGGATTCGATGACTTGCCCTGGAAAGATGCCGTGTTTTCCTGAGGGCACTGGGGGCACTAGCAGGGCAGCATTTTGGGGTCGTCACGGTTTTCGAGAGTGGATTCGAACTTGCGTTTGTGTACGGAGTTTTTCTTAAGCTTAGATACGACATTGTCTGTCAGGGGTGTACAGGATTGCAGTTAGGGAGTTGTTTCGAACCCGCTGCCCTCATCGCAAGACTGGCTCCAACAGCGGGCAGTTCTAGAACAGGGTAATATTATCATCTCCTTACATCGGTCATCTTCGGACAGCAATGGGAAGCGTGAGCACACAGGACCAAGGGGCCCTCAAGCTGCGCATTGAAGGGTCCTGGGGCTAGGGTCGGGTGCTGCTGACCTATGGTTTGAGGCTATAACATCGAGTTTGGTGAAGATGTTCACAAGTACCAATGCACAACGGCCAAGCTAGGACCCAGCAGGAAGTAGTCGATTGGCCCCGTGAAAAGTTCGGGGGCCTGGGGGTGGCAAGCTGTTCATGAAATCACGTTACGAATAAGCCCGTGTGAGGCGTGCGGCGCTCGAACACCTCTGTAGTTCAAAATGACGACAGTAACATAGGGGCCTTAATCATTACCAATACTTTTCGGGATTAGTATATTTACCGTACAAAGGCCCCCAAAACCCCATTCTAATTATGAATGCGCGTATAGCATCTCTTCACATGGAGCTCAATTGAGTGTTTGTCTGTTGCTGGTGATTGTGTACGGCATCCGGGATAGCCACATGGACTTGTTGAAGGAAGCAGCGGAAGGGAGAGAACAGCTCAAAGGCACGAGCACTCAACCCTAAACGGCCTGAGCCTGTCATCCCAAAAGCCCCAAGCTCTACGGCTCAGAAGTTCGAAAGTTAGCAAGCACATCGTAAGGCCCGCAGAAGCCCCATCCTTGTGTCGGGCGCAGGTCGGTATTATGGCCAAGGTCCCCACATCAGCTCTCTAAGTAACTTATTGGCTGTAAACTCAATTTGTCAACTTTTGGGGGTTCTAATGAGGTAGTCGATTCTGAAACTTTCAACTGTTATTTCCTTGGGTTTTGGGCCAGTGAGGTAAGAAACGGACAAAGAGAACACATCGGATGTCTAGGATGACTCAACACTGCCTTGGGTCTCAGGGGTTCGGTGTGTACTAGGGTGCGAGTGTTTGGGGGTTCAGGGCTTAGGGTTTTACTAGGTTTTTGGAAGGGTGTAGTACTCCCCTGGGCCTTAGACCGAGAAAGGATTCAAAACTGTGTGCGGGTGCAGGGGCACTTTTTCAGGGTTCTTGTTCAGAAGCCTTGACTTTCGAGGTTGCCCAGTAGAAGCAACCAAAACTCTCGATTACACTGGCGCGAGCCGAAACCTCGATGAGTAAGATTTATGAAGCTTGAGGCGTAAAGTAGGGTCTAAAGTTAGGGTATAGGGGTTTAGGATTCCTTTAGAGGGATCTATATTTGGAATCCTGAAGGTTCCTTTGAGTTCACCCAAAAGCTCGCTGCTTTGGCAGGAAAACCTCGGAAGCATCCTTGGTAGGCGCGAGGCAGCTCCCACTTTGCCTGTCCTGGAGGATGGGCTACGAGCAGCTGTTAAAATGCATGAAGTGGGTCTATGATATGGTTTGGGAATAGGGTGCTACTTACTTGAAGGATCCGGCGCTTAACTCGCAACGCATAAGTAGCTTATGCTGAACGCGAAGTCTCCCCAAGTCTCTCTCTGCAGGGACTACAAGCACGCTCGTTTGAGGCGCAAGGTCTTCCAGCAATTGCAAGGCAAACATAGGGTCTTAAGTTGTTGCCAAGTACTATTTTGGTGGTTTCTTATTCGGATAATGGCTTTTTTTTTGTTGGGGAGGGGGTCTTATTATGATACTAGAATAATGGGCCCCAAGACCTTCTTAAAGCTAAATTATTAACGCCGCGCCATTATAGCAGACCCCAGAATCCGCCCAACTCAGGCTCCTCAGCAAGAGCCTCCTGGAGCCCCAAACCCTACAAAATGGTAGGTTCTGACCCGTTAATTATATAGGGTTTAGGGTTTAGGGCTTCCCTACAAGATGGTAGAGTTCTGATCGGCTCTTTCAGCCTGAGGGCAAAAGCCCCGGAAGTCCAGGAGACTGTGGAACTTCGGCGTCAGCGATTCTTAGCCATTCAGGCACCCACTCGTGCTTTTTTTTTTTTTGGGGGGGGGGGGGGTAGGGTTTAGGGTTAAGGGGCAGGCACCCACTCTTGGTTTTTTTGGGGCTGTGGATTACGGGGATAAGGCCAAGAAGTCCTGGGATTCCGACTTGTGTGGCGCAGGCCTTTCGATCTGGAGCTGAGCTTGGGACTTAGGGTAGTTTCTGGTGTAGATGAACTCAGAGTCTTGGCATCTTTGAAGGCCGAGAGTTTCAATTAGTTGCACCTTCTCCAGAATCTTCCCTCCACACACGCCGAGTTCAAATCGCAGCAGTTCAGCCCTCATGAGGGATGTAGTCTGTCGGCTCGAGGACTCGAAGTACTCAAAAACCCCACCTTCGGCCACGTCATTCCTAAGGCTTTGGGGCTTGAGCCTCCAGTTTTCCATCCTCGTCACCTTCGCCCGGCGGCCGACGGACAGAATCAACAGGCCGGTGCTTTAGGGTGTAGGGCTTGAGTGGTGGATGTAGAGTTCTCAGGGTTGTAAGTTTTGGGTTTGAAGGGTTGGAGCTTCAGGGCAGCACCCCTCCCAGCTTCGTCTGGCCACACCAGCCACTGTTGGATTCCCTTAAAGCCTGTGTTGACCAGTGTTTGAGGTTCAGGGGTAACCCGGTCCCTCTTTGCAGAGATGCTCGGAACTTTACGATCCCTTAGCCGGGCTATGGGTTCTCCGCACAGAGGCCAATCACCGACAGCGGTGATAGTGCAGCAGGCCGTGGCTGTGGTGACCATATACGAATATGAAAGTGCGGGACCCTAGGTAAAAGCCGAAAGATTTGTGAATCGACTGTTGTGTGCGTGAGACTTAACTTTCTATTTTTATAATATACTATGATGGAAAACATAATCTATAATGCATCATGTATGATACTGTTCGGGCTTCGGGTCCGAACCCCGAAATGTCAATCTGAATGCTGACCTGACGCACAAAGCCGTCGGATTAGCAAGTGCCGCTACATGTGACGAGGTTCCCGGCCGTTTTTGTTCCATCGGTATGAGTAGGACGCTCAACATGAAGTGCTATGTCCTCTAGAGCTAACCTTTTCATGGTTATCTTGTAGTTGTAGTGGGCTCGCAGAATGCCCCCCAACCTAGGGATTTTAGGGTGCGGGGCTTTAGGGTTTACGGGCTAGGGGTTGAGGGCATAGGGATGTAGGAGTTAGGGATTTAGGAATTTGGGTTTTCGGGTTTCGGGTTTATGGTATAGGGTTGATCGAGTTTAGAGCAAGCTTGTGGGATTGCAATATACAGGGGCGTTCATGGTCATTTTCCGGAACTCCAGGACTCCATGCCCTGAGCCGGAGACACCAAGGTGTTGCCTCTAAGCAGCCAGCTCTCACCCCTGAAGTCTAAACCCTAAACTAACCCTGAATCCTGAACGCTAAGCCGCTAGGCCCTAAACCCCAGCTCCTATGCCTTGGGTCGGGAAGCTGTACACGTAGTATTTCAAAATATTTCAAGTCGGAGGCGGAACCAGGAGGGGGATGTTCGCTGAAGTTCGCCAGCTAAAGCGGGTAAAAGGTTGTTGGCAGCTTTCCTAGTCTGGTGTTGCAGGTGAAGAGAGCATGACAATGGAAGTTTAAGGTTTAGGGCTTTGGGTAACTATCAAGTCTGCCCAGATCGCTAACATTCCTCCAACATGGTTATGCGTGGCCTCAACGGTTTGTTTACACCTGTGTGAAGACGTTAGCCCTGGATCAAAGTCAGGGGTCTGTGTGCGTCGCCATCTGAGTCGTTGCATCAGACCTTCGGCAAGTGTGCAGGACATGAGTA